AAAATACGCTTCTTTTTCCTTTCAGATACAATGATGACACTGAAGGTTCAGGTTCTCTTTGGCTTCCTTTGCTGCATGTTTTTTCTTCCTGTAGATGGCTTCCCCGCAGACCCCAGTGCCGAATTTCGCTCTGCTTTCTCTGTGGCCAGAACCAGCAGCATGGAAGGGAGCTCCGAGATGGTTATCACCTTCGACAAGGTCTATGTGAACATTGGCAATGACTTTGATCCCAAGACTGGATTGTTCCGCTGTCGGATCCCTGGAGCCTACTACTTCTCCTTCACTGTTGGGAAATACCCAAAGAAAAACTTGTCTGTCATGCTGATGAGGAACAAGAACGAGGTGCAGGTAATCGTGTATGACGAACATCACCGCAAGGAACGCAAGGTGGCCAGCCAGAGCGCCATGCTGCAGCTCGACTACGGCGACACGGTTTGGCTGCGTCTGCACGGAGACCCCAAGTATGCTCTTTACAGCAATGTGGGCCCCTACACCACTTTCAATGGCTACCTAATCTATCCAGACACTTCTGCCTTCTTCCAGAATGCTCTCAGCTCCCAAGAGATGGGACCGCACCCTCACACTATTCAGCAGATTGCCAGAGAACAGAATAAAGCTTCCCAGCAGCACGTGCTGTCTGATCAGCCGAGCAAGACGCACGACCCTCGCTCTGCGTTCTCTGTCGCCCGCTCACAGAGTCTCCTGGGGACGGATGAGCAGCAAACCCAGCACGAGCCAATCACATTTGACACAGAGTTTGTGAACATTGGAAAAGACTTCAATTCCTCCACTGGCATCTTCTCGTGCCGTATACCCGGGGCGTACTATTTCTCCTTCACCATTGGCAAAATGCCCTTTAAGACTATGTCAGTGAAACTTATGAAGAACCACAATGAGGTGCAGGCCATGATCTATGACGACAACCACTCCAAGAGGCGGGAGATGCAGAGTCAGAGCATCATGCTGCCCCTGCAATATGGGGACACTGTTTGGCTCTACAGCCATCAGCACGATGGCTATGGTGCCTACAGCAACCACGGCAAGTACATCACCTTCACAGGATTCCTGATCTATTCAGATGCTCAGCCAAAGCTGCTCCCAGGTGCCAGCTCGCCTCAAGGGTCAAATAACTAAATGCAGATGTGGAAGCAGCATAAGAAGAGCCAAGGTGCCATGAACTTGGGTATAGCTCCTCTTCAAATATCATCCTCTGAGCATGCTATCATGTGTCCAGTGCTTTCCTTACGCTGCACGCTGTGCCCTGGCTGCAGGGCCACTGCTGTGTCTGCCGTTCATCCGTAGAGAGGCCTTTCAGGCTGCTCCTGTGTGTTCTGTGTTGGTGTTTGACTTAAGCATAAAGCATGAGGTAGTTTTGGGGCAGCGATGGGGCAGTGTAGTGAGATGCTGAGGGTCAGAGAGCCACTGCAGTCATGTTACTGCAGATCCCCAGCACCCAGAAAGCAAAGGATGTGGTGACTTTCCTTGTATATCTGGGGAGGGAATAAATGTAATGAAAATGAATGTAATAAAAATACAAAAGATATAAAATGTTCTAGCTTGTAATTTGTTGCTATTTTGTGACTCTGGTGTGCTTGTCACTGGCTGAGGTACCGGCTCAGGGGAGAAAGAAGCATGATGATTGAACGAGCTGGAGTATGTGCTACTGAGCCAGTCTGTCTGTGCATACTCTGTTTTACCATTTGTGTGTATGAAGAGTTGGTACCTCTTATGATTTTATTGCAAGTTGCACAATATTTGGTGCTTTTTCTTTCTCTGATGCAGATGAAGTCCAGAAGCTGTGTTTGAGTCTCAGCTTCATTCAGTGGAAAGAACACATTTAGAAACAAAAAAAAAAAAAGAGGCTTCTAGCCTTAGAACACATTTAGAAACAAAAAAAAAAAGAGGCTTCTAGCCTGGTAGTGAGAGGTGAGAGCTTGAATCTCTGAACTCATCCTCTGAAAGCCCAGAAACAAGGTGGGTGAGAATAAAAAGTGTATTTTTAAACCTCCTCGGTTTTGGGTCAGGACCAGGCTCCTAATGCAAAGTGTGAGCAGTGTCACTGTTGGCTGCAGGGCACTGCCCTCCCAGCAGTGTGTCCCTGGGTATTGCTCCCCTGCCACATGCTGTGCTGGCAGCCTCGTGCAGGCAGGTGCAGGAGTTCACGTACAAAGAGGCGACGCCGTCATCATCTTCTTGCATATCTCGTGATGACTTTTATTATTTACAAAAGTGATTCTTTTATACACACCTATTTTAAGCGCCCACTTATCATAGGTTAACTACGGTTACTAGCCCACCTTACACACAATGGAATTGGCTATTAAAATATCAATCATAAAATGCCCCAATCATTGTTCTCCACCCCTAACCATCTCCAGCTCCTGCATCCCACAGCAGGAGCTGCTTATCTTGCTCCCTCCTTCCTCCCATTCCAGCCGCAGCAGTGTCCCTGAACAGCTTGGCTTGCAGCTTGTTCAGGGCCCGCTAGGAAAGCTGG